GTGTGACCCCTGAGACCCACTTGGTCCTCTGACTACCCTCTCCCTTCCTATAATAAATGTAAAAATAAATCCTTCATTTTCAAGAGTAGAAACGAACTTGGGTAATGACAGCGGGAGTCATTAAGTAGCATGTCCAGGGCACCTTCTTAGCCGACTCAGTGCTGGCAGTTTTCCCGGAGCCTGTGCCACATGGTAAGTACCACATGGTCTCTGAAGTCATTGTGTTGGGATGCTAACTTCTCAGAGGATGTATACTGGTCACATGGGTAATTTGCATAAGAAGGACCTATTGTTAGAGAGAAAGTAGACACTTCTATCCCTCGCTGGTGGAATTCTAAACTGTACAACCCTTCATTAAGAATGTATTCATAAAAATAAATAAAACAGTCTTACATTATTACAGAAGCCAGTAGTGGTGTAGGTGGGGAAAAACCCAGCATTCAGGGAAATGGCTGTTACTGTGGTGTATCCTCTTTATTGCATACTGTGCAGCATGAGATAACCTTTTCCACCAAAGGCACCATGTAACGTTTAAGGACCTAACAATCTAGTGTGTAAGTGCCACCTCTTGGAGCAGCCATGGGGATGCATAGATCCAGCCCACCTGAGGAAGGTGGATCTCAGCACCCTCCCACCAGCTGTAAGTCCCTCCCAAAACAGCTTCTACCTCCCAAACAAGCCGTGGTAGAGCTACACGGCCACGTCCTTTGGGTTTATGTACTTTGGACCAGCCTGCTTACTAAGACTGTGTAATCTTTAACCCCCCCTCCCCCCCCCAAAAAAGCTAAAAACATGAGAAAGTCTTTAAAAATTGATATTAATTTACTAGATCAAATTTGTTGACCATCTGTATGGCTGTAAGGAAATGAAACAGTGTGAGTAGGCAAAGACTAGATGACAGAGGAGAGCCAGGACGTAACCTCTGCTTACCCGAGCTCCTGTAAGCCAGCCCGGTGAAGCTCATTGTGTCGTACACAGGGACTGAAAGGAGAAGGGCGGGGGGGAGGGGACAAGAGAAGTAATGGGAGTGAGTGTGATCATAGTCTACACTTGTGTGAAATGTCACAGTGAAACCGGTATTGTGGGTAAGTAATACATAGTAACAAAAAAGTAGATCTTCAGATGCCAACCAACACCTGATTAGGAGGGGTAGCTGTATGGGAGGCTTTTCTTGTACTAAATTTTCTTCACTGTGACGTAATTTCCCCTTTTTGTTAGGCATACATACGTATTCTATGTGCATACGCTTGAGACAGACCTTTCTAGATCTGTTTTTGTGCATTTACATATTCCTGCTCCTTCCTCACCTTCGACACACAGTTGTTTATTTTTGTTGTTGTTGTTTGTTTGGTTTTTTTTGTTTTTTTTTTTTGTTGTTTTTTTTTTTTTGGTTTTTCGAGACAGGGTCTCTCTGTGTAGCTTTGCGCCTCTCCTGGAACTCACTTGGTAGCCCAGGCTGGCCTCGAACTCACAGAGATCCGCCTGGCTCTGCCTCCCGAGTGGATCTCTGTGGGATTAAAGGCGTGCGCCACCACCGCCCGGCTGTTTGTTTGTTTTTTTAAATAAACCATATAACCTAGAGGACAAGAGAAACCATCAAAGCACTTCTCAAACTGCTTGCAAGATGGCCTCTCAAGCATTTGAGTTCTTGAAGTTTCTGCTAAGGACTGGTAATAGCAGATCTCAGTCCAAAGCTCTGGTGTGAAGAACAGGAACAAGTAGCTATTGTGTGTTCTTCCAGCCCTGAAACATGTATCTGATGACATGAAGACTCACAAGAACCCTGCCCTGAAAGCTCAGAGTGGTCCAGTTCGGAGTGGCCCCAAACCATTCTCTGCACCTAAACCCCAAACCAGCCCCTCCCCGAAACCAGCCACAAAGAAGGAGCCACCTCTGCTAGAACTGGAAGGCAAGAAGTGGCGAGTGGTGAGTTAAATAAAGGAGCTTGGCCTTCTGGGAAACGGGAGGAGGAAGGATGCTTTCTGCAGAATTTAGCTGAAGAGGGTAGGGTCTGGCTTATGGTAGAGAACAAAGGTTTGGGGTGAGGCACTGGTTTTGTTGGCGTGTGCTTTGTTGTAAGAATCCTGGGGTGTGTCTTTATCAGGAAAACCAGGAGAATGTTTCCAACCTGGTGATTGAGGACACTGAGCTGAAGCAGGTGGCTTACATCTACAAGTGTGTCAACACGACATTGCAAATCAAGGGCAAGATTAACTCCATTACAGTAGGTGAGTCCTCCTTGCTGCCCTGAGGCAGGTTCTGACCTGGAGCCCGAGAGGGCTGGAGCCATTTTCTACCGCTTTGTAAATTCTTACGTTCTTGTTCCTTGCAGTTACACTGTTGATCTGCTTCCTTTCTCCTCCTAGATAACTGTAAGAAGCTTGGCCTGGTGTTTGATGACGTGGTAGGCATTGTGGAGATAATCAATAGTAGGGATGTCAAAGTTCAGGTAACTCGATATCTTGGCTCCTCCTTTTGGTCCCTGAGGAATTAATTGAGAGACTCAGCAGACTCACAGATGGTCCTTGGGCAGGAATCTGATTCTCCCAAGTCTGTAAGCTGAGCTGGTTTGGATGTGGCAGAAGTCGGCTCTTTAAAAAAGGGAGCTCTTTCCAGGACCCAGCCCAACCCACCCATTCCCAATAGCTGCTGTGTACTGGGGGGCTTGTGTGAAGTAGTGTAATCACTTAAAATAGTGGAAATTCTCTCCACAGCTTAGTCTACCTGTACCTGCTGAACTCAGTTGTCTTGGTTTTCTCTACAGGTGATGGGAAAAGTGCCAACCATTTCCATTAACAAAACAGATGGCTGCCATGCTTACCTGAGCAAGAACTCCCTGGACTGTGAGATAGTCAGTGCCAAATCTTCTGAGATGAACGTCCTCATTCCTACAGAAGGCGGTGATTTTGTAAGTAATCTTTCCTTCTTTCTTTTTAAAATTGTCTCTTGGATTCTAGGCTGGCCTGAAGCTCATTGGTGATCCTCCTGCCTCTGCCTCCCAAATGCTGGGATATAGCCATATAGCACAGGGCTGTTGATTTGTTGCTGAGATTGAACCCAGGTCTTTGTTGCATGCTAGGCAAGCACTCTACCAACTAAGCTATATCCCTGAGGAATAAGACATTAAAAACGGAAGAAATAAGCTGAGCCTGTCGGTATATACCTGTATTCCCTACACTCAGGAGGCTGAAGGAGGAGGAGCTGGAGTTGGAGGCCAGCTTGGGTTTTGTAGTAAGACCCCATCTCTTGAATTCGAGAAAAGTATTTGATGGGTCATTTGGAACTCTGTAGGTAAATCCCAACAATGTACACAGAAGCCAGGTAGTCCTGTGAAGGGGGCTCCATGGGAGGGTCATTCCTGCCTTTCTTAGCTCACTAAGAGTCAGAGTCCTGGGCCCCTCATCAAGCTGGTGTCTAGGGCTGTCTGAGCCTGTCAGGATCATGGCTCACTAGAGTGAGCAGCACAGCACAACGTGGCTGCTGGGTTGGTTAAGTTTGTCTCATTCCATCCCACACTGCTCTCAAGGTTAAGTGGAAGCCAAGCATTGGCGGAAGTGTGAAATGTAAACAGCCCCAGTTCATTTATAGGCAGGATTCCAGCGTGTCACCTCCCAAGTTTGTTGTTGTTGTTTAGATTTGTTTATGTGTTGGAGTGTTTTGTCTGCATTATGTAGTTGCACCATATGTGTGACTGGTGCCTAAAGGTCAGAAGAGGGCACCAGGTCACCTGAACTGGAATTACAGATTGTTGTGAGCCACTGTGTGGGTGCTGGGAATCGAACTCAGGTCTTTTGCAAAAGCAGTCAATGCTCTTAACTGCTGAGCCATCTCCACCTCCATCACCTTGTTACCTCTTTTTTACAGAACGAGTTTCCAGTCCCTGAGCAGTTCAAGACCTTGTGGAATGGGCAGAAGTTGGTCACCACAGTGACGGAAATCGCTGGATAAGCGAATGCCAGTGGGTCCTGTGCCCTCTCCCTTCACACCACGGGATACATCTTTATGGAGACAGTTCTTTTCTAGATCTCCTCTACCTTTCCGCTCTTAAACTGCTTCTCTGCTCCGAGAAGCCCAGCTACCTGCCTTCACTGGATATACCTCAGGCTGAGATTGGGGCGGGGCGCAGGTCAGTGGATCTTCGGCGGGAAGCGCAGCTGCACCAGTCCGTGCTTAAGAGCTACAGGCCCAGACTGGGGCATTGAAGCTTTCAGCTTTGGGGGTCATTCTACCAACAAACAGTCCTTGGGGGGGGGAAAAGTCCTGGAAACAAACAGATCAGAATGCATACTAATCTAACAGTGAGCACGGAGGTAGCAGGAGCCAGTGTGATTCCATAAGGTCCTATCCAACCTAATTTTTCATTGTTGAGAAGTGAGGCCAGGGTTGCACTGGACCAAAGGCCAAGGCTTGCCACTCGGCATTCCAAGCAGACTTGTTTCCTAAAAGCATTCCTTCATTCTGCATTCCACCCTGGGCCAGCCTCAACCACAGAGTAGCAGGCTTCCCCTTTTTGAGAAAAAGTCTCAAACCTTCCCCCTTCCCCTAGGATGACTACCTTGGTTCCCATGGGGACAAATTCCAAGGAGTCTGGCATTCCACTTCCCTGCCAGATGCCTGTCATCGCCTCCACTCCTCCTCCTGCCTGTCATGCTCAGCAGCTTAGGGCCTTATTGTAGGCATCTGAGCAGGACTAAGACCTCCACTGCAGGCTGTTTAGGTCTTGATTCACATACGACTCTTGCACAGCATTGCTATTGTAAATCCCAGCTCTCCCTCTAGGACACACTGACCAAAATATGCAACGTTTTTTTTTGTTTTGTTTTGTTTTTGGTGGGAAGAGAGATTGTCCTGTGACTTCTGCCCATTTCCTGAGGCCTGTGGAAATAAACCTTTATGTACTTAAAGTTATACAGAAAATAGAATAAAGTTAATACCAAACTTGTTCAGTTACTCACCTGATCTGTACTGAGATGTAAAAGTACTGAAGATGACACCACGGATAAGAAACTACTCTTTATTTTAGACAGCCTGGTAAAGTTATTTTCACATCCTTCCGCTTCCTGTCCTTAAACCTCATCTTTTTATTTGAACAATAGATTTAAGAAAAGGAAAAACTGGCAAAGGGTGGATTCTGCGGTGCTAACAGGGTGCCTTCATGAAAACAATCATTTCTCCAAACTAGATAGGAATCATCCAGAAAGTGCTGCGGTCTCAGCATGGGCGCTGAAGGGTCCACGCTCCAATAGCCCAGGAAGAGGTGGGTCGGTGCTCCTCTTTAACCATGGAGTCGGCCATTGGTTTGTAATGTGGGTTGGTCTCCAGAGGGAAAAGGAAGTCTACAATATTCCTCAGTTGTTTTCTTGAACCAAATCAGCGGCAGCGTGGAGTATGCTGGTAAATAGGATTGGGGGTAGAAGTGTAAAAGTCCATCTTTTCAGACCGTTTCCCCATTTGCAGTGGTGTAAGTGACACTTACTAGTAATATGAGGGCAGCGAGCCAAGAATGGAGTGGCAGGGACAGTCACCCCTGGTTTTCACCTTTTTCTTTTTCTTTTTTTTTGTTTTTTTGTTTTTGTTTTTGTTTTTTTTTTTTGTTTTTTTCGAGACAGGGTTTCTCTGTGTAGCTTTGCGCCTCTCCTGGAACTCACTTTGTAGCCCAGGCTGGCCTCGAACTCACAGAGATCCGCCTGGCTCTGCCTCCCGAGTGCTGGGATTAAAGGCGTGCGCCACCACCGCCCGGCTTTTTTTGTTTTTTTTGAGACAGGGTTTCTCTGTGTAGGTGCCTTCCTGGAACTCACTCTGTAGACCAGGCTGGCCTCAAACTCACAAAGTTCCGCCTGGCTCTGCCTCCTGAGTGCTGGGGTTAAAGGTGTGCGCCACCACCGCCCGGCCTGGTTTTTACTTCTACTCACTTCCCACTATCTCGTGGTATATAAGACACACATTGCTGTAGGGTGTGGTGGCATATGCCTTTAATCCCAACACTCACAAGGCAGGGGGATCTCTGTGAGTTCAAGGCCAGTCTGCTCTACATAGTGAGTTCCAGCCAGCTAGGGCGACAAAGTGAGTGAGTGCCTGTCTCAAAGGAAAAAAAGTGCATTTCTTCTCTTAAGCAACCCTGCTGGCTGTTCCCTCCTTTTGTGACTAATTCCACTGCTGAGGATACAAGGTGAGTTCTGTGGGGGCGTGGCGGTAGGCCTATGGAGTGACTGCTAGGTGCCACTAGATAGGAAAACAGCCGTAGGAGACGGTGCAGAACCATCAGCAGGTGATGCTGCTCGTGTGAGAATCTCAGGACTGGGTACTTGCTCTGGACTGGTACAGGCTCTTACTTGCTCCCAAGTCTGTGTGGGTTTTTGCCCTCAGAGCCTGTCTCCCTGCTTCATCGTCTTGTCTGCTTTGGGCACAATCATTGATCTGCAACAGCAGACTCCTTAAGAGGAAGCTTGACCATACCACAAGGTCGTAAAACAATCTCCATGGTTATTAGCTAATTAAACTTGAATTCAACACCACATGGTGATAGGAGGCAGCAGAGAATAAGATTGGGATCTTCGATCTTCCAAGTAGGGCATGTTAGATAACAGGAGAGGACTGCTTGCAAGCTAGATTAGCAGTCAGGGTTGGGCACGAAGAGCTGGGGTTTCCTGAGCTCTGCCGCCAAGTGCAAGGACTTCACTTAAGGAAAGGGATGATGTGGGCATTAAACCATTCTTTAGTCAGTTGAAGATGGTCCCCTTCCGTAGCCAGAAACACTAGCTTTCCTGCTTTGTCCATTTGTTTTAGCCCCAGGCGGTCCTGTAGAGAGAAAGGCCATAATGAACTCCAGGCTTTGTGGAAGGTTTTAGACTAAAACAGAAACTGTACAACATTTAGTCTCACAATGCACTCTCCCCTGTCGAGGTGTGCTGTTGAGGGGGAATAGGATACCTTCTTTCAGGGGTTTGTTTTGGCTTTTTGAGACAAGGTCTTGCTTTGTAGCCCTAGCTGGCCTTGAATTTGCAGCAATCCTGCCTCAACCTCTTGGGTGCTGGGATTTTAGCATGCGCTGTTATGCCTAGTTCCTTCAGTTTCTTCTATGCATTAAAAATACATGGGTAAGGCCGGCATAGTGGCCCACCCTGCTTAATTCCACCATTCAGGGGCCAGAGGCAGAGGCAGGTGGATCTCTGAGTTCAAGGCCAGCTGGGTTTATATAGAGTTCTAGGACAGCCAGGACTACATACAGAGATGCTGTCTTTTAAAAAACAAAAATGTGCAGCTGAGATTGTTCTGGTTCCGTCCCACTCCCAACCCCTGCAAGGTGCTAGAAATAAACCCAGGACCTGCCCCTGAGCTGCACCCCAGTGCCTATCGTCAGCTTTCTGAAAAGCAGCTGGGCAAGCCACAGGCACACCTGGCACAGAACATCTTTGTGAAGTGGGGCTGAGCCAGAGACGGGAGCAAACTGGCCAGCTGTTTCTAGAGACAGCATATCCAGTTCTTAGGCTAGTGAACTTGGGACCTGTTAGTATCCTGCAGTTACGGTGTCATCTCCCAATAGCCAGGCTGTCACTCTGAGAAGAGAAGGACATAGCGGTAGAGAGTGCCACTGCTTGTCTGTCTGCCCCAGGGTCTGAGTTTCATGATAAGGAAGATAGATCTTGGCTATAATTTCCAAAGCTGCCAGAAACTGGCTTCCCTTTATTTCTACCTCACCCAAATTGGGGCACGATATATATGAGAAAAGCAGAGGAAAATAGGCCTCTGAAATTGTATGGGAAAAGCTGTAGTAAAAGATGGTTCAGGTGTGATATGTGGGCACCTGTGAGTCCATCTCCAGTATCAAGTAGACATTCTTTAGTTGGTGGCAAGCCACAACTGGATGTGGTGAAACGCTGTGACAGCTGCTTGAGAAACAGGACCTGCTACTAAGCAGCATCCATAACAGCCCCGGTTCAGATCTTAGAGTAGGAGCTTGCCTTGTCAATGCTAGATTGATAGGTTTATTCTTGGTGCTAGGGAAGAAACCCAGAAATCGTGAATGCTAATAAGCACAGGGTCTACCGTGGAGGTATACCCTCAGACCTCCAAAGTCCACGCCTCCATTTACTGTTGCTGTAGCATGACATCTCAGCCATGTCTGCATTTACTTAGAGACTTCTGGGATTTGTAGTAAATTGCAAAGGAAGCCAGCTCCAAACCTTTTCTTCAAAAGTAAAACCTTAGAGATGGTGTCTCTCTTTTTGTGTTTAAAACCCACAAGCTGCAGGTCTTAGGATGCTGTAACTATCTACAAACCAGCACCTAGGAAGTTAGTGTGACCAGCAATAGCTCAGTAAGACCTAAGTCAGATGGCTCAGGAGTGCTCTGGGACAGACAAGGCAGGGTCTGCCCCCAGAGAGCCAGCCCAGCAGCTCCAGGAGCCAGGGCTAACAGAAATAGCATCAACCTCCCAACGCAGAGCTCTCCCTCCATTACCTCTGTGTATAGAGTGCTCTCCTGGAGGGGAATAGTTTCCATAGCTTGGCCACTTCGGTAAAATCCAAACCACTGCAGGAGAGAAGGAAGAAAAACAGGTCAGATTATCCATCCACCCAGCACACTTTCAAGATCATCTGACGCTGGCTAGTCCCTAAAACCACCAGCAGAATGGACACTGTAATATATGCAACAAGCAAGCAAGAAGGAAGATGGAACCGGTTTTTGGTTTTGGTGACCTGGAACTCACTCGTGTAGCCCAGGTTGGTCATGACCTTGCAAGCTTTCCGTCTGAGCTTCCTGAATGCAAGAACTATAGGCATGTGCCATCATACGAAACGTAAGGATATATCTTGAGTCATCTCATTTTCAAGTTCAGTCCTGAGGGATGAACTAATAATCCCTCTCTAGTTTTCCATTTCCCCATAACCTGCTTCCTTCCATAACTGCATCAAATGAAAGCCCCTGTGCTAGCCCAGTTATTCAAGGATGAATATACAAGCCCTTTTCCTAAGAAGCTCCGTCTAGCAGGCACAGACCCATTTCATTGTTTAGCACTGGTCAGCAGACTTCTGGAAAGATCAGATACAGACACATGGTTGTGGCTACTCATTTGCTAATGGGATACAAAGGGAGCAACAGAGTGTGAGAAATGAGCAAGGGTTTTCTAATGAAATGCATTTGTAGACATGGAAATTTGGTTTTCATAGCATAAAATATTTTGATTTTTTTCTCCATTTATATATATGTAAAAATTCTGAGCTCATAGGCCACTCAAAAATATGGTGAGATTTGGCCCCCAGGCTGCTCCCCCCCACCCCCCATGATCTGACAGTGCCAGCAGAGCTTTAGTTGAAGCTGGTAACCTCAAAAGCAGAAACAGCTGGTAGTCCCTCACATCTGTCATCCCCCTACTCAAAAGAGTGAGGGTGAAGGATCAGTATGAGTTCAAGACCAGCCCAAGCTACTTGGTGAGGACCCCACTAAAAGGAAGGGGCCAAATTCTGGGAGTATGGATGATGTCCTAGAGGAAGTGACATTGTATCTGGCCTTAACAAAATAACAGGTTCGTCAGGTGGAGAAGCCAGGGAAAAGCATTCAAAAGACTAAGGCACATGAGAGAAGCCTACAAACAGGCTTGGGCATTTCAAATGTGGGTGACGCAGCTGGATTGATCACTCTGAATCAAGGCAGACCTGGACATCAAGCTTAGGGGTTTATAAACAAGGGGCTAGTGATTCTGAACCTCTTTTGGGACAGATCTCTTTGAGAACCTCTATAGACCCTTCCCCCACAGAGCGTAACCACATACTTCTACATGAAATTCTGGGTGCAGCTAGGGGATGGCCGCTGATTTTCACAGGAGGGACGTTGGTGGTGAGGACAGATGTGGCCCGGAAGCAGCTGCAGGGAGTACTGTTAACCTTGTGCAGTCTCAGGGCACACTGGGGCCGCGTGTCTCACCTCAGAGTCTACAGGGTCCACGATGGAATCGTTCAGGAATTTCACCATCACAAACTTCTTGAGGGCCATCAGGTTCTTCTTGTAGGACTCATTGACACACTGGAAGAAGAATGGACAGTCCTGTAGGGTGGCTGCTGTCATGTGCTGGCAGGGATTCAAAGATCAGTCTTCCCTTATAACCTGTTTGACGGACATGTCATCAACCATGGGCTGGAGTCTTGTGAGTTCTGTCCACATACTCTCTACAGACATTAGTCACTTAGGTCACACAGGCTTCAACCCACAGAATTCTGGGTTGTTCTGTTATTGGATTCAGCATTGTTTCCTGACTTTTGTTTTTGTTTATTGACCCCTTCAACTTTCCTGCTTCAAACAACGAATACCCGCTACTTAGCCATCATATAAAATGAACCATTAAATTTACCAGGATGTCCCAAACCATGCTTATGCCTGGGCACAGTCCATGCCCTTTCTAGAGTCCCTTAAGTAAGTCTTTTCTGAGACCACCTGCCCTGAAAGATCCCACCAGGAAGACATCCTTTGAAGACAGCAGCTGTGAATTCCCGCTTTGCACAGCAGACCACCTACTGTAACTCCATCCTGCTGCTTCAACATGAAGAAGGAAGTGGAGGGCTTCAGGGAGGAAGAGGGCCAGATGAGCCCCAGCCCAGCTGCCCTAAAAACAACTGAAACTCACGAGTACTGCCTCTCACAGTGAAAACCCTTGGTTCCTGGCTTCTACTCCAGCTATTTTCATAGATGGTCCCTGCTAATCTCTTTCTGATGGTCAGAAAGGAATGCCTACCCATGGGAGCGTGTTTGGGTGCCTACCCTCTCTTGGTTTATGTCTGCCAGGAAGATGCTGTGGTTGCGGTACACATCCTCCTGGAGGGGGTCATGCCAGTACTCTGCTTGCACCAGCCTGAGGAAGAGAAGAAATAAAGGTGATTAGGTGCTTCTCAGTCAGTATGTCCAGGGCATGCCCCAGTGCCTATACAACCAAGGGACTTCAAAAGGATGAAAGACCAAAGCCCCCAAGTCCCAGGCCTTGCCTTCTGATAGAGATGACGTCGTACACCTGTCAACAAGACATATCTTACTGAGACGGGGACAAGCCATTTGGCAGACACAGAAAGTCCAAATATTTGGGGATTCTCTGTCTATCAAGGGCCAAATTCCAAAGATTTTGGCCCTTGACAGAGATTCATCAATACTTGGCTTCCTTGTAATCACAGGGGCCCAGGCTGTCCCTCCTCACAGCCCCACCTCCCTCCCTCTCTTTTGCTTTCCATTCATCCCATAAGATGCATCTTCCTCCCCATTATCCCTTTCCTCATCTTCCTCAGCCAGGGACGGAGACTTAGCCATCCCAGCCTGACTATCACTAGTCAGAACGACACTCTCCAATCTGTTCATAAATGTATTTGGAGCCAGAGGTGGTGGTACCCACCTGTAATACCAGCACTTGGGAGGTAGGAGCAAAGGGATCAGAAGTTCAAGGTTATTGTAGATGTAACCAACCGTCTTATTAAATAAGAAACACAGAGCCGATTCAGAGAAGAAAGCCAAGAGGTCAGAGCTAAGATCCTCACCCTTCCTGCTTCAGCGATCCTCTTCAGTCAAGAGAGCTCTCCGAAAGGGACCTACTTCCTGTGTGTATGTCTTTATATAGTCTAGCTGTTCTGCCTTCTCATTGGTTGTAAACCCAAACACATGACTGCCTCGTCACTGCCTGTATGTACAGCCCTCCAGGTCCTCTATGGTATTGAGATTAAAGGCGTGTGTCTCCAATGTTGGCTGTATCCTTGAACACACAGAGATCTACCTAGCTCTGTCTACCAAGTGCTAGGGTTAAAGGCGTGCGCCACCACCGCCACGCTCTTGCTACGGCTCTAATAGCTCTGACCCCCGGACAACTTTATTTATTAACATACAATTAAAATCACATTTCAGTACAAGTAAAATACTACCACAGGTTATCTTTAGCTCATAGTAAATTTGAGGCCAGTCTGGGCTAACATGAGACCCTGTCTCAAAAAAATGTATTTGGAAGTTCCAAAAAGTTTAATTTCATTGATGCTTAAAAATTCTGAGTTATGCCAGACGGTGGTGGCGCACGCCTTTAATCCCAGCACTTGGGAGGCAGAGGCAGGCGGATCTCTGTGAGTTTGAGGCCAGCCTGGTCTCCAAAGCGAGTTCCAGGAAAGGCGCAAAGCTACACAGAGAAACCCTGTCTCGAAAAAACCAAAAAAAAAAAAAAAAAAATTCTGAGTTATGAGCTAAAGAAATGGCTCAGTGGTTAAGAGCACTGGCTGCTTATCCAGAGGACCTGGGTTTGATTCCCCACCCCACCATGGTGGCTCACAACTATCTGTAACTCTAGTTCCCAGGGATCCAAAGCCGCCTTCTGGCCTTTCTGGGCACCAGGCACATATGTGGTGCACATACATACAGGTAGGCAAAACACCCAGACACATAAAAATATCTAATATATAAATAAATAAAAACTTCAGGGCTAAAGGTATAGTTCAGAGATAATAGTATTTGTCTGACCTGCAATGACTCTGGGTTTGATCCCCAGCACTGCAGAAAAAAAGTTAGATAAATAAAAAGTTCAAAGGACAATGTATTAAGGACTGCCATCAGTACTGATTTTGTCATGGCTTTAGTATTACTGTTGACTATTTTTCCCCTACAAGGCTGGCAGGCCCTTGATAGGCAGTAGATGCTCTATACTAAGGGTCTGCTAAATGACATGGGCTCTCAGGTTGTGAGACAAGCTGGGCTGGAGCTTGGCTTAGGGATGTAAGAAGGGAGGCCGTAGTATCGAGAACACTCTGGGTGGGGCCACAGCTTCAAAAGTGGGTGGATAAAAGCACCAGGTGACACCGCTCTCCGAGGTGACTCATCCCGGCTCACTCACACAGTGGAAAGGGATGATGAGGAAGGTCTTTGGACCCAGTCAAGCCTCCTGGTGACCCTGACTTCCAGGAGGCCAATGGCTAAGGGTGGCGTGAGGGTAACCATTACGCTTTTGCCATCAAAAGGAGACAGCTAAGAGGAGATGGCAGGAGGATGCCAGGGACAGTCCATCTTAAGGGGCTTGATGCAAGCAGCACAGCCCAGAGGAGGCCTGAGGATGAGCAGAAGTGGAGGGCCTGGAAGGAGGAGGTTCGGGAACAGACAGAAGAAAACTGGGTGTGCACTTCCACCGAGGGGTAGACTGGAAAAGGCTAACTAATCTAAGCTCTACTACAACAGTAAAGATAAGTCTACCCACTGTTTGGTGTTCTGAGACAGGGTTTCACCATGTAGCCCAACTGGACAGTCTTCCCGCCTCCATATCCCCAGTGCTCGAATTACAGGTGTGCATCACCACACTTGACTGTTTATCAAAAGTCTTGCTATGTATCTGACTGGCCTGGTCCTTCACCATGTAGCCAATGCTGGCCTTAAACTTGCAGCAATCCTCTCGCGTCACCCTCCTGAGTGATGGCGTTCCAGGGGTGAGTCAGTCACCATGCTCTCTGAGGCGCTGGGAGCCGAAATGTTCTAGAATTCCATTAATCTATTCTAGTGTGTATGTGTGAATACACACATGTGTTCATATGGGTATGTGTGGGGATGACCCCTGTTCTTGTGGAGGATGACACTGGATGTCCTCCTCTCTCTCTCTGTACCATAGTCTCTGAGACAGGGTCTTTCACTGAACCCGAAGCTTACAGCTCTGATAGGCTGGCTGGACGGCGAGCTCCCAGGATCCGCTTGTCTCTGCCTCACAGTGCGGGGGTTGCAGGTGCATGCCGTTGTGCCCGGCTTTGTATGTAGCCGCTGGCAATCTGAACCTGGGTCTTCATGTCTGCACAGCAAGCATGACACCCATTCAGCCACCACTCAGCCCCCATGAGTGTCTTTTTAATTTTACTGTGGCTTGATTTGGCGTCTTTCTGGTCATTGGAATCCTCTCTCATACGAGAGATGGCGTGACAGGGTGGCAGAAAGAATGGTTCCTTTCCTGCTCTTACCAGATCCCCCAGCATTGTGTATGTACTGCTTGCTCGGCTTGCTTGTAGGAAGTCTCATATTGGCCATCTGTGCAAATGAGGCTTTGCTCATATGAACACATTTTAAAAAGGAAAAGCAAACAACCCCACCGAGTTAAACGGTGGGTAAAAGTTAATCTTTGCTACAAGCTCTTGAGAACTCAGAACGCACAGTCCGGGGAGACTGTGCGGGGCGTGCGGGGCTATGTTGCTCAGCTAGTGTCCCCAATCACTTGAGTCACCTTTCCTTCTGTCTAATTGTCACTGCCTTAGTGTCTCAGCCACCACTGTCTCTCAGCTAGACCACCGCAACAGACCCTAATGAACTAGTCTCTTGTTTTTCTAGCCGTCTCAGAACCTACTTCCCACAAAGCAGTAGAGGTCTTTAGCTTAGCATGCTGTTACAGAAAAGAGTCCCAGTTCCTTTCCCAGCACTTGGGAGGCAGAGACAGGAGGATCTCGGTGAGTTCGAGGCCAGCTTGGTCTACAGAGCGAGATCCAGGACAGCCAAGGCTGCACGGAGAAACCCTGACTCGGTGGGGGGGGGGGGATCATTTCTCCTATCTATCACTAGTCACTCCAGCCCAGAACAAGCCAGACTTGCCCCTGCCTTTGTGCTAGCCATTCTTCTCTTGGCTTCTCCCGTGTTCTTTCCATCTCCTCCTTCACACCCCAGCTTAGAGGTACCCAGTGTGGGAACCAACTTCATTATTTGCATGCCTGCATCGTAGCAGATCCCATCTAAGGTGTCTGTCTCCTCTCCCTGGCTAAACAGGAGACCCAGGCGCCCAATGACCAGGTCTGGTAAATAGTAACTCAGTATTTGATGAAATTATGAATTAAAGACTTCACAACTGCAACTTAAGAAAAGACAAAATGACACTAGGAAGGAAACAGAAAGCTGAATGTTTTAAATATAGCCCAACCATGAGAACAGCCCAAAGCTTTTTACGATGGGAACTCAGGCTGCACTAAATAGCTTACACTCAGCTTGCTTAACCTGGAAAATGACTCCAGGAAGGCATGTTACTAACCTCATGTCAGAGGTTCCAAGTGCCCATGGCCACATAGCTAACTGATAACAGAAAGATAGCTCTCCAGTGACCCCCCGGAGGAGAACATGGGAGGCCATCTCCTTTCCCTTTATTTTACTTCATTTCCCCTCACGCTGGGTTGCTCCTTGGGACAGGCATACAGGACTTAAGGTTGGCGGACAAAGCTCCACACCACAGCCTTCTGGGTGGCAGTGGTGCTGTAGTGGAGCATGCTGCCCCAGGATTAGAACTCTTCAGCTGCATCCTAGTTAGGACCTATTCTCCATGCCCGATGCTTTGAAATTTCACAGGAATGCACTGCAGTATGGCTTTGTGTTTTTTTTGTTTTTTTTTTTTCCTGTCCTTGCCTGGGTATTTAGCAAGCCCTTTCAGTTTGGAAGCTCATGCATGGTAATGGCTTGGACATCTTCTTGCACTACTTCTTTAATTCCAATTCACCCTTCCTCTGCTTGGAAAGTCTTGTTAGTCACACCAGACATCCTAACTGCTTCTTTCTGTTCTCTTTTCTACCTCTGTTGTAGTTACTGTACTATGGCTATGAAGAGACACCACGACCAAGGCAACTCTTAACAAATGAAAGCTTTTAACTGGGGGCTTGCTTACAGTTTCAGAGCGTTAGTTCACGGGTGGGAAGCAGACAGGCATGGCACTGGAGCAGTAGCTGAGAGCTTGGTATCCTGGTGTGGGTTTTTGAAACCTCAAAGCCCACCCCCAATGACACACTTCTTGTAATAAGGCCATACCTACTCTAACAAGGCCACATCTCCTAATCCTTCCCAAACAGTTTATCACCTGGGGACTACTTATGCAAATATATGAGCCCATGGGAGACATTTTCATCCAAACCACCATAACCTCTCTGAATTTTTTTTTGTTTAACTTCTAGAAGATTCCAATATAACTAACAACTTAAAAAAATGGAGTTGTGATATTTCAATTTTCAAAAGCTCTCATTCTGACAGTTGATTTTATTCATGATCTGTTCTGGAGGAATAGAAGCAACTTCTTCCTCTCTCTGAAGACAGTGATTACAGGTTTTGGAATCTGGTCTTCTAGGTTTTCTTCTGGCCAGGAATGTGGCTCAGTGGTAGACTGCTTGCCTGGCAAGCTGCTGCACTATGAGCAGTCTCTACCATGGGAAGTGGGAGAGGGAGGAAGGGTCCACAGGCTGACTGGAAGCCCTTCCTCCACGGGCAGAGCTTAGATAGGAGCTGATGAACTGGTGGCATCAGCACCCCACCCAGTAGTTAGGAGACTTCTCTTAGTCACTTCCTCCAGAGAGAGACCCCACAAACCCTGCCTCGCATGTAACAAGGTTAGCTCTCAGCCTGGGTCACCCAGCATGTTAAAGGGAGTAGATTTTGCTTCTGCTATGGTGGAGGAAAAACAGTTCTCTGGATGTGCATGAACTGGGGAGTCAGACTGCCCCGGCCTCAGGTTTCTAATGAAAAGGTCCTGGTTTTGGCCCCACACACTTACCAAAACCTTCCAAAGTACTATACAGCCCAGTTCCCACGCTTTCTTGGGGCTCTAGAGCATGGGTCACTGCTGTGTACCTTCTACAGAGGTAAAGCCTTCAACCTTTCTGCTGCACTACAGTCGTTCTTATGTCCTTCTGTTTGCTCTTTGAAAAACATGTACTGGCCGGGCGGTGGTGGCACATGTCTTTAATCCCAGCACTTGGGAGGCAGAGCCAGGCGGATCTCTGTGAGTTTGAGGCTAGCCTGGTCTTCAGAGATAGCCAAGGCTACACAGAAACCCTGTCTCAGAAAAAAAAGAAAAAAGAAAAACATGTACTGGCTCTTATTTCCTCTCTTGTTTGCTTTGACCCTGTGAGTTTTATCCTTTTTAAGTCCTTTATTAATTTTTGATTTTATTTTATTTTTTGATTTTTCAAGACAGAGTTTCTCTGTAGCTTTGGAGCCTCTCTTGGAACTCACTTTGTAGACCTGGTTGGCCTTGAACTCACAGAGATCCACCTGTCTCTGCCTCCCTAGTGCTGAGGTTAAAGGCATGCGCTGCCACCACCCGGCTATTTTTATATTTTTAATGCTGCGGGCCGCAGGAATATATCATAAGAACTTAGCTGGTTATGGCAAAGTCACTAACTGGAGTGATCAAGGATTTTCTCCAGAGGAAGCCAAATTCCAAGGAGCTTTTGGTGTTACTTGGCTTGTTATATATCAGCTGTCTTCTGTATGAAAATCATGTGTGCCTTCATAGTTTTCCCAATTGACTTTTCCCTAAGAAGGGCTAACAGTGTGGACTGATCACTCTCTGGATATATACATTCCAGGTATTTGGAGAACAGCCTCAGGAAAGGCTTCCTCTAGAATCAGATATCTCCCTTAGCCACTTTCAAGGATTAACAGTGATAACAGTTCACATGCTAGTCACCTGACTTAAGGTAAATTCCACAAGGAGACACCGCCTAGGTCAGGTGGGTATTAAGTAATAGCTTTACACAATTCAGCTCGAACCCTCCCTTTTTTTATCCCGGGACTTCCAGGGCACGGGATGGAGAAGAGAAAAGAGAAAGGAAGAACTAGATGGGTAAGAACTTGAGAGGAACAAACTGAGATGGGGAAGAACTAGGTTGAAGAGCTAGAAGAGAATTCTAGAGGAACAAGATGGAAGATGAGGAAGAGCCAGATGGGGAAGAACAAGATGAGGAAGAGCCAGATGAGAGAGAAGGAGATGGGAGAGGAGCTGATAGGGGAAAGAACTAGATGGATGAGAACCTAGAAGGGGCAGAACTAGATGAAGGAATTAAGATAGTGCCTGGAGGGGACAACAGATAAATGGAGAGAGAAATTGGGCAAGAAAGGAGCTAAAAATGAGAGCAGATTATAAACTTGTAGAGAAAGAACCAACACAGAATAATAAAGTGTATGAACTAAGAAGTTTCGTGTACATAGACTCATTTCTTTTCATCAAAGATTAATTATCAGCTGGTTGTAGATTCTTCCCGGACCCTGGGAGGGGACTGTCGAGGGGCTGGACCCCCATAGTCCCCGATATTTTAAGACAAAGTCTCACTATGTCACCTTGACTGGCCTGGAACTGGCTACATAGATCAGGGTAGCCTCAAACTCACGGACATCCGCCTGCCTCTGCCCCCTGAGTGCTGGGTTAAAGGTGTGGACCACCACACCAGGCCTCATATGTTTTAAGGACAATTTTTTTAAAGGTTTATTTATTTATATTTTTATATATATGGGTGTTTTACCTGCATGTATGTCTGTGCACCACCACATTCAGGCAGTGCCCCCAGAGGCCATAAGAGGACATAAGATCCCCTGAGATTAGAGTTAAAAACAGTTGTGCTATCATTAGTGAATGCTCCTCGAATCGCTGAGCATGGATGGCAGCAAGATACTCACTCCCCCAGTCTGGACTGGACAGCTAGTCACACTCACCATTCTTGAATAGTTTTGGAGTAAGCACCAGCATTGATCATTTTCCTGATGAAGTCACAGATGTGCGAACTCTCTCCCGGGCATCGAGGGAGGCCAAAAACACCTGTGGAGGTAGAAGATAACCATGCCTTACTCCAATAATCATGTATTGAATGCCCTCTGTACCAGGCACTGTGAGAACAAAAACAAAATGACAAAGAGCTTGAATATAAACTTAGTCATTTACTCCAAGAAAAAAAAAAAAGCCTTAAGTTCTGAGAACTAACACCACCACCAACTTCCTCCTGGCATTCTCCCAGGGACCTCTGTCCCAGCCCTACCCACATGGGTTACATACAGCCATACAGCGCATGACTGCCTCTTCCTCTTTCTTGGGAAATCATCTGGCTCCCTGTCCCCATTCCCCCCACCCCCACGTCACTCTCTGTCATCCATGCACCTCTCTTCCTTTAAATCCTGTGTAAATTACTTTTGATACCCAATACAGTGTAAGTGCTCTGTGGATTGTCATTCCACCGTGTTGTTTAGGGAGTGAGAAGAGTCTGTACATGTTCAGTACAGATGCGATCGTTTCCCCCATCCTCCCTCCCCACCCCTGTCCCTCTCTTCCTTTTTATGAACATAGGGTAGGGTCTCACATAGCCCAGGTTGAACTCAAACTCTCTGAGGATGATTCTCCTAACTCCACTCCCTAAATGCTGGGATTCTAGGCATACATAACCACCATGGCCTCTCCCAGAAGAGTTCTCATCCATGGATCTTTGAATCCACAGATATGGAACTCATGGATTCAGAAGGCCAAATGTGTGGTGGGGTAGAGTTCTTGTGGTAGAGTTTATCCCGGGTAATACACACACACACACACACAGACACACACACACACACACACACACACACACACACACACACGGATCTAGATGATCTAGGCTATCTCTGCATGCCCAGGCCTTGCTCTCAACATGTGACTTAAGCTCCTGCTTTTCTTGCTAAGTGCAGCTCTCAGCCTCATCACAGAAGCTTCCTTCTGCAGCAGAGGGAGACTGCTACAGAAATCCACAACTGGTCAAAATGCAGAGAACAGGTGCCGGTGAGGTGCCCAGCTGCAACTGACACATCTGCAGCCCACCACACCCAGGGCTCAGGAACGAAGAGGGGCAGAGAGAGAGAGAGTTGTAGGAGTCAGAGGCCCAGCACACCTGCTACTGAGAGAGTGTCTTCTATACGTGACTACAGGGACGCTACACCCATGAAATCTGAGCAATATGGTCACCTAAACAAGACCTGCATAATGACATAATGACATGCCAGTGCGGGTGGGGGAAACCTCACAGGGCCCCACACCTAGATGAAGAACTACAAGCAATTAATGATGACAGAGAGTAGGAGAACCAGGTCTTCGGGGATGAGTCCCTGGTAGGTTATCCAATCTCAAGTGGTCATATACATATGAGCAACACTAAATGGACACAGCAGCTTACACACACACACACACACACACACACACACACACACACACACACACACACGTAGGTGCCAGGTGTGGTGGCATATGCCTATGACCTCGGCACCCGGGTGGCTGAAGCAGAATTGCTAAGAGTTTGAGGGCAGCCTAGCTACCAAACAAGACCTTATCTAAAAAGGAGGAGGAGGAAGGGGGGCGGGGAGAAGAAAGATGGGAGGGAGGGAGGGAGGGAGGAAGGATGGAAAAAAGGAAGGGAAAGACAGACAGGAAGGAAGGGAAAAAATGAAAGAAAAAAGAAATACAAAACATCAGACAGACATGGGTTAGAAAAGGGGAAGAGAACCACAGGACAAGGGGTGAACATTACCTTGATGTTGTCCCCCAACTGAGACCAGGTTGATCATAGGAGGTGATGGGCATCTCTGGGCCACTGCCCTCCTGGAGAAATCAAACGTGACTGTCAGCTCTGATGGTCAGATTGGAATGTATCAACACTCTCTTCACAGGTTAAGCTACTCAATACACCATGGGTTCCCAAACCATGGAGTTCCAGGATCTTCCTCCTGGTTGGATACAAATCTCACTTCATAGAAAACAAATCAAGAGGAGTTGGGAAGATGGCTCAGTCAGTGAAGCCATAAGGACCTGAGTCTGGATTGAATGCTCCCTCTTAAAAAAAGAAAAGGAGAAGCCTGGTACGGCAGTTCCGGTAAAACCAGTACCGGGGAGGTAGAGGCAGAGGGTGAGTCCTTGGGCTTGTCAACCAGCCAGTCTAGCTCAATACTGAGCTCCAGGTTCACTGAGAGACCTGTTCTCAATAACAACAACAACCACCATGCTGTCCAGTTAAGCACTCACTGCCAAGCATGATGACCGGAATTGATTCCCGGGCCCCACATGTTGGAAGGGGAGAACTGATTCCTCAAAAACTGTCTGTCTTCTGCCCTACACACACACACACACACACACACACACACACACACACACACACACACACACACACACACAGACACACACACACACACACACACAGACACACACACACACACACACACACAGACACACACACACACACACACAGAGTAAATACAGTTTAAGCATATTTAAGTTAAAATAGAGGATTGGAGAGATGGCTCAGTGGTGAAGAGTTCTTGCTGCTCTCGCAAAGGACCCAGGTTTAGCTCCCACCACCTACACTGGGTCGATCACAATAACTTATAACTCCAGCTTGAGGTGATCTGATACCTTCTTCTGGCCTCTGTCGGCATTGCATTCACATGGACACATACCCCAACACACACATAGCTTATAAAAAAAAATAAAATCTTTAAAGTTTTTTTTCTAAAACAGTAAGGTGGAGTGTAATGGAGGAATACACCACACATCTGACCTTTGACTTCCACAGGCATGCTCATACATGTGCACACATAGAGAGAGAAATGAAAATTAAGCTTCTTACGCAGTGACATTTTAAAACCAACTTCCTTTCTGTGAGAGTAGAGGGCCCCCAAATAATTACAACCAATTTATCCGAAGAGAAGGAAGGCCAGTTCCATGTGGGTAGTAACCACGGCACAGGAGGGTACTTACAGAAACTGGCCTCCCTGCGAGAACCCGATAGCATTGTAGCCCTGCTGCAACTTAGGATCCTTCTCCAGAATCTGGCACACTATCGTTACCTGGGAATTGACATTCATGAAGAAACTGTTCTTCACATCCTGAAAAATGAGTAGTGAGCGTGACGTCAATATTGACGCAGGTCAATACCCTCAGACAGCCACTAGGGTTCAAGCGTTAGCTGAGTTCGATGGAACAACCCTGTAGTTCAGGCACTTGGCAGGATGAGGCAGGAAGACCCAAGTTCCAGGCTAGCCTAGGCTACACAGCAAAATCCTCCATCCCGAAACAAAATGAAACCAAACCAGGGGAGCTATGGCTTGCTGCTCAAAATGCGAGGTGAAATGTTCAAAGAGCACACTTTATCAAACCCGGCAGCAAAACTTTCAGGGAACGCTCTGCCATCTTACCTCCATCATGTTCTTCCCAATCTCTAGAGACAGGATGTAAATCCCAGGTATTTCCTTCTCGACCATCTTTTTAATGGCACCCATGCTTATGGGGTTACAACAGCTGTCTCCTAGCCAAGGAAAACAATGATGGAAACTCATGAATCAAAACATTATTTAAGAAACAAAAACCTTTTATGTCTCAGAGGGCGATATCAAGAATGTGAAAGGGCAGCATACAGAATGGAGAGGACCTGGAAACAATGGTCTACTGCAGAGCGTCTCCAGCTTTCCCCACACAGCGCCCTTCTCAACTCAGAAATGCTTACGATACCTTGGCTATATGGGTTGATAAAAATGTATACAAATCAAATATTTACTGATAATAAATATAAAGAAGTTTATTATAAGATATTCTTTGGTATACATAAAATTTTATTATTTATTAAGGGCGAAATTATACAAAATGATAAAAATAGACGTACTTGTTTATATTTCCATAGAGAATTACATTTTAATCTGGGCATAGTGGGTCACCCTCTAAACCCAGCACTCAGGAGGCAAAAACAGATCTCTGTAAATTTGAGGCCAGGCTGGTCTACATGCTGAGTTCCAGTCTAGCCGGAGCTACATAGTGAAACCCTACCTTTCAATTTAAAAAGAATTAAGGGCCTCCAGGCAGTAGTGGTGCATGCCTTTAATCCCAGTACTTTGGAGACAGAGGCAAGTGGATCTCAGAGTTCAAGGCCAGCCTGGTCTAAAGAGCGAGTTCTAGGGCAGCCAGGACTACACAGAGAGACTCTGTCTTAGACAAACAACAAACATAAAAGAACCGAGTTCTGGCTGAATAGTTGATAATGCAAGACAATGAACATCCTCGGTGTTCTTCATAGTTAATATTTTGATTTTATAATCATTAATACTAAAACACTGCTCACATAAATATATAGTAAGAATATCAAAAGCATGCTTCTTTCAGAAACTGCTCCCCTTGCCCAATTTATACAGTCCTGGGGTCCTGCCAGGACCTGGTGCATGCTGGGAAAGCACTCTATCACTGTGGCTACCTCTCCAGTCCCACATGCCCTTCTGCAGCTTGTTAGTACCTGACAGACAGAGCTACACAACAAGTGTTCTTTTATCTGTTCCTGCTGAGGGGAAATTCATGGGACATCAGCCTCACCCGTTTTCAGTGCCCAGTTCGGTGGCCTTGAGCCTGTTCACCAGCTGAGACAACCACAGCTTCTCTCTAGTTTCAGAACTGTGAGCACCAGGCAAACCTCCATATGGTGAAGTCATTGTTTCCTCCCCTCCTGTCACTGCTGATGACCTCCCCCTATTCTCTGTGCCGTGGGGTCTCTTATTCTGGAACAGGTGAAGGGAGCAGATAATTTGTTTTTTATGTGGGGTTATTGTATGGAACATGCTTTGAGGTTCATCCAGGTGGTAGCATGCTTCAGTACTTATTCCTATTCAGGGGTGAATAGTATTCCATTGTGTGACTATACCACAGGTTATTCATCCTGTAATGGACATTTGGGCTGCTTCTACCTTTTGCTATTCCAACAACACTACTGTAAACATTGTGTAAGGTTTTATCTGGATGCATGTTTACATATTTGTTTGAGTGTAAGGTAGGAGTGGAATTGCTGGGTCATCTTATAATTACACGCTTAACTTTTTGTTTTTTTCAGTCACTGCCATACTTTCCAACAGGGATTGCGTTGGTACAGTTCCAGCAACAGGGCACAAGTGTACCTACCTCCCCATGCCCTGGCCAACGCTTATTTCCTAATTTTAAAAATGGTATTTTTTGGCCAAGTGTAGCACCTTTAATCCCCGCACTAGGGGGGCAGAAGTAGACGGATATCTCTGAATTTGAGTCTAGCTTGGTCTGTGTGGGGAGTTCTAGGCCCGCCAGGGTTATGGTGTAATACCTGGCCTCAACAACAACAATAAAAGTTATTTTTAAGCAGTCTAGGTAGGTGTGAGTGGACACTTCACTGTTTTAACTTGCATGTTCTCCACAGTGATGCCGCTGGCCACTTCCTATCTTCTTGGAGAAATGTCTTTGCATCCTTTCCCAGTTTATGTTTAAGAAGTAAATTTGTGTGTGTGTGTGTGTGTGTGTGTGTGTGTGTGTGTGTGTGTGTGTGTGCCCGTGGAGACCAGAAGAGGGCATCATTGGATCCCTGGAGTTAGAGTTGGTGGTGAGGTGCCCTGCATGGGTTCTGAGAACTGAATTCAGAAACACTGGAAGTGCTCTTAACTACAGATCCTTTTCTCTAGCCTCTCCCTTTCTTTTCTTTTAAAAACATTTATTTTTATTTTTATGTATATGTGTGTGCCTATGTGAGTGTATGTCAAGTACATGTAGGTGCCCAAGGAGGCCAGATGATGGTGTCACATTTCTTGGATCTGGAATTACATGTGGTTGTGAGCCAACATGAGTGCTGGGAACCAAACTCGGGTCCTCTAAAAGAGCAATATCTTGGTCAGTGTTCTGTTGCTATAAAGAGACACCATGACCAAGGCAACTCTTATAAAAGAAAGCATTTAATTGGAGTCTGCTTACAGTTTCAGAGGTTTAGTCCACTATCATCATGGTGGGGAACAAGCCTAAGCCATAGGTTGAGCTTTCATAATTACTAATAAATCTCCATGTCATTTTTTGTGAGCTGGCGGCCCAAAGAAAAATCCGTCTACAAGCTTTGGGAAAAGGTTGACCTCCAACTTGTATAAACTCGGGAGTGAGAGCCTCAGAACCTCAACCTAGAGCCGGGATTGTTTCCTTCCCCACAAAGAATCAGACCTAAGAACGGGAAGCAGCAATCTGGCCACCGACTAGAGACGTGTCCATTTTGCACGGAAATCACAGCATTTCAAGTGGACTGGAAGTCTAAGGAGAAAACACTCTGCCCCAGAGAAACTTCTGTTTCTTTTCTAACAATATCCACCACACAGTAATGAGAAGGGGCAAAGAGGGGCCTTGGCTACATATCTAGGTCATTGATAACTCAGCCTACAAAAGATACTGTCTCAAAAATATCAAATGAGCCCAGCCTATTTGCAAATGCCTGTAATCCTAGCGCTTGGGACGGGGAGGGGTAAGATTAGACGTTCAAAGTCACTCTTGTCTAGACAACAAATACAAATTCCGAGCTAGCCTGTGCTACATGAAACCTTGTCTCAGCCAAAAACTAGGTCTGGACATATGTCTTGGGTAAAGACGCCTGCTCCCAAGGCTGACAACCAGAGTTTGATTCCTGGGAACCACAGGGCTGAAGAGAGAACTGACTGCTGCAACTTGTCCTCTGACCCCCACATGAATGCAGGGGTGTAGGTGTTACCCCCACAATAATAAAAAGTATTTTACTAAAAAAGTCCCCCAATTTAAACTAAGCAGCACACCAAAGCAATAACAACATGCCCTTCAAGTTTATAAGTTTAAAAGCGAAATCTCTTTCTTTTGTTTTGAGACAGTGTCTGGCTATGTACCTCAGCTGGCTTGGAGCTATGACCCTACTCTTTCAGATTCCTGAGGGCTCCAAGTATCAGTGTATGCTACTTCGTTTGGTTTAAAGAACTCTGACTATCCATACACCCCCCAAGTGTGCTCCCCTCCAAGCTACTGTATCTTGATAAAACAACTTCACTTTAGGATTGTCCAAGCACAAACTGTGGCGTCCTCTCTGCCCCCTTCCTCTCTCACACCATATCTAAACCCTCATGTCACCCTCCAGTATATCAGAGTCCCACCACTTCCCCACACTTCCTGTTACCACACATCCGTCACTATGCAGCTCTGAGCCACAGGCCTCTCTAGGGTTGAAGGTCCTGCAGTGTCCCCTTGCAGCTCTCTGTGACACCTACAATCCATTCTCAGCACAGCAACTAGAACAGAAGTCAGGACACAGTGGGACAAGACAGACAGACTGACATGCCTTTAACCCATAAGGACTGATCCCATAGAGTCTCTCCTCCACTTCTACATCCATGGAATGTGCCTGGTCCTGATCCCTCTTCCCCTCATCTCAGGAGAAAAAGAGCAAGTGACTACCTACAGGATAAAGTCAGGGGTCTCCAGGACAAACAGGCCACTGAGCTGAGTCTTACACGGGGACTCTCCTTAAGAGGAGTCTCCAAGAAAGCCAACCTTCACAGCTAATAAATCCAGATCCCCAAGACCCTGAGAAATGCCTGTTGTCATCTCTGTGGACAAGCAGCCTGAATTCCCTGTGATCCCAGCTGACTCTGTTCCTCTGTCGTCCCTTCTTTTAAAGGACAGCTTCTCCCCAGAGCTCAGAGCCACAGCTTATTTCAGGAACCACTAGAAGGGGCCACATGACCATCTAGTGTCACCAATAGAGCGATCCTCTCATTTGATTTTTAACTATAGCTAAATACATATTATTATTTATGGGTCTCCCCATGTAGCTCTGGCTGACCTGGAACTTGGCATGTAGAATTGGGCAGGCCTCAAACTTGCAGAAATTCTCCTTCCTCTGCTTCCTGAGTGCTAGAATTACAGGCTCCCACCACGTTGCATTTGAACAATCTTTTAAAAATGTAAGTCAGGGGGCTGGAGAGATGGCTCAATGGTGTGTTCTTGCAAGGTACAGTTTCCAGTACTCGAATGGTGGCACACATTGCTCCCTCTGCTCCTGCTACACTGATCTGGACACTTACATGCTCAGCTCAGGGCCTTTGCCTCTGCTGTCCTTTGACCACACATCCATAGGCATCTTCCCCCATCCACTGCAGATCTGCTCAGCTGTCACTCTCCAGGGAATCCTTTCCCAACCTTGCTCTCTACAAGCTCATGCTCACACCTCCAGCTCTGTCTTCTTCCAGGCTTTCTGTCTGTCTACACTGCACTCATCACCATTTGACACATTTCCCCCATTTCTCTAGAGTGTGTTTCCCCACCGGAAAGTGAGTTCCGAAAGGGCGGACAGTTCAGTCTGTTTCCTGCTCAGGTGTAGTTGTGCTGTGTGGTGACTGTAAAAAGGATGCACAGGTGACTGGTAGATCTCCATTCAGAGTGGAGGAATAAAAGCGTGAGTGTGCCCCCAGCTCTGCAGGGACCGACGGCCTGACTGTCAGGTGCTGCTGGCTGATGCCATAGCTGCTAGGATTTCAACAAGGGCAGCATAAAACCCTCGCAGTGCACAGCTTTCCCTGAGCGCTCACCAAAGCCACCTGGCTCCCTTCCTTTCAGTGCAGAGGTGTCCCCACATTCTAAAACCTAGGTCAGGCGGGTGCTGTGGAATCACTATCCTCGCCCTTCCAGCTCTGCGATGCGAACCCAGGCGCGGAAAGGATGCTCCTCTCCACACTCACTCACCCATCCCATGCCAGATCACCAGCGGCCGCGGCGAAGGCGGGTTCAGATGCCCCAGCTCCCAGGCGGCGCAACACCAAGGAAGAAGAGACACAGCCAGGAGCCACCGGGAACCGGGCGACGCCATCTTAGCCCAGTCACATGACCGCGCGCGGGCGCGCGCCCAGGACAGAGTCCATCCCGAGGTTTGCAGGGTCCCGGGTGACCACGCCCCTGCCGGGCGCCACAGCCTGAGCACTGACCTTGATCCAGTGCCTACCACCGACCAGACGCTTTGTCCAAGGGCTTTCCATCTTTTAATTGGCCTTATGCACTGCTCTCATTTTACACCCAAGAACATCCAGGTGACAATTTTCTCCACGGAATTGAAGAGATGTCTATTTTCTAACAACTGTCTCATTTTTGCTTTATTTTATTTTTATTTTGTGTGTGGGCGTTTATATGTGTGTGGCACGCGTGCCCCAGCGCACGTGTGGTCAGAGGGCAGCTTGCAGGAGTGGGATCTCTCCTTCCAGTCTGTCAGTCCCGGGAATTGAACCCAGGTCATCAGGCTTGGCTGTGGAAGCTTTTCCCGGAGGAGACTATTTTATTTTAGCGAGTGTGCGTCCCTGTGAGAAAGTAGATAAGGTCCATAGAGGCAACAAACTGTTCAGCACTGTTGTACTTACTGCCCTTGGAAGAAAAGTCACTTGGTTTTCATACACGGCTAGTTAGATCATGGTGAGTTTTGTTCTGTATCTTGAAGGAAAGACAGTATTTCAACAAGCAAACATGTAATTCGGGAGGAGGAAGTTTTAGCTCCTGAGGGGAGAAAGGTATCTTAGAGATCCAGTCATGGCTTCCAGATTGGCATGACTGTCAGGTGTTGGGTGTAGCAGAAAGATGGGGAAACATGGCCACTTCCTATCCAAGTTACACCCTGGTTTATAGCCAAAGGCTCTTGTTCTCTCTGTCCCTACCTCTTTTCTAGCTTCTCTCAGTCCCGCCCCAGCATTTCAATTATGGGCTCAAACTTTCCCCCCTAGAAAAACATGTGAACCTGTCAAGTAGGATGTATCCATGGTACAGGGGGTCTCTTTGACACCGGCTTTATAAAGGATGGAATAGTCTTACACAGAGTGACATGAAAAATCGGGAAGAAAAACCGGTTGCACACCCACATGAAACCCTTCTGTTCCACGCCGTTGAAACTAGTAGTTACTTGGTAGTTGAAAAGCCAATTAAATACAGGATTATAAAGGGTTATGCAGTGCACAATTGACAGGCTTTGCGCCAGCGAGATGGTTTGGCTGGATAAAACACTGGCCACTAAGCCTGGTGACCTGATCCATTCCTCTGGGGACAGCTTGAGGAAAGAAGCAAGTTGTGCAAGTTGTGCCCTGACCTCTACACAGTGACCTGTCCCTACACATACACATAAACACACGAAGTAAACAAGTAAAACATAATAAAAAGCAAAGCGAAGAAAAAGAGGCTTGGGAGAGAGCTCAGTCAGTGAAGGGCTTGCTGTAGAAGTGTGGGAACTGATCGGATCCACATCCACAGGGGTAGGACGTGCACCTGTCATCCCTGTGCTGAGCAGTGAGGACAAAGGGATCCCTGGGACCACACAGTCTACCCACATCACCAGGTTCCAGGGTTAATGGGAAACTGTCTCAAAAATAAGGTGAGCAGGATTGAGGGAGAAACCAGATATGTCTCTGTCATGTAGCCCAGGTTGTCCTGGAACTCTCTGTATAGCTGTAGATGACCTTGAACTGTTGCTCCTCCTGCCTCTACTTTAAGTGCTGGGATTATAGGCCTGGGCCACCATACCCAACTCATTTTTTACTTTCTACATTTCTGTATTATTTGGATTTTTATACCAAGGATACATAGCAAGACTCACACTGTGTGTATCTCTGTGTGTGTGTGTGTGTGTCTGTGTCTGTGTGTCTGTGTCTGTGTCTGTCTGTCTGTGTATGTAGAAGCCTAGGATGTCCTCAGGTGTCATTCCTCAGGAGCTGTCTACTTACTTTTCAGACAGGGTCTCTCACTGGCCTGGAACTTTTGAAGTAGCCTAGGCTGGGTGACCAGAGATCTCCAGGGACCTGCCTGCTTCTGCCTGCCCAGTGCTAGGATTACAACCTCTCACCACTGTGTGTAGGTGAAAGTCTCTGTCCCACCAACTCCCAAATACCCAGCAGCTGCTTCCCAAATTACCACACAGAGGCTTATATTAATTATACATGCCCAGGCAGTAGCTTAGGCTTATTACTAACTAGCTCTTACATTTAACCCATAATTCTCATCTATATTTAGCGAGGATTATTCCACAGCAACCATGCCTGGAATTTTCACCTGGGTTCTGAGGATCAAACCCAGGCCTTTGTGCTTACAATGTAAGCATCTTACTGACTGAGCTATCTCTCAGTCCTTTTTTTTTTTTTTTGAAATAGAGTCTCACAATGTAGTCCTGGAAATCACTATGTAGACTATGCTTGGCCTTCAGCTTGAGACAGTCTTTCTGCTTCTGCCTTCTATTGTTAGAATGACAAATATTGCCACCATACTGGCTACGGAAACCTAACTTTTATAATCAGAATTTAATCACACACACACACACACACACACACACACACACACACACACACTCACAAAAACTGCATGTAAAAGCTTCAGCAGCCAGAGTTGAGACTGGTTCTATTGGCGAGCATGGAGGAAGGTAGCATTTCCCTCCTGGTAGTTACAACCACTCCATAACCCAAAGACAGAAGCCTATGTAACAGGAGGAAAAATAATTATTAGTTAAGAAAATGGGATAGTTTGAGAATCATTTTTAAAATCAGGCACTTAATTTTTAAAATAAAATTTTGGTTTATTTGTATATGTGTATCTGTCTATGTGTACGTGTGTCTGTCTGCTGTCTGTGTGTCTATTTTTACGTGTGTGTCTATGTATCCATCTGTCTATATGTATGAACACACATACACCGTGGTGCACTTTTGGGACTGACTACCTTCAGGAGTCAGTTTTCTCCTTCCACCATGTAGGTCCCAGAGATAGAGCTCAGGTTGCCAAGTGGTGGCAGGTGCCTTTCCCTGCTGAGCCATCTTGCTGACCTAAGTTCTTAGCTTTGTTTGTGTTCTCTGTCTGAGAAGTATATTCTTGGGATGGTGGCATGGCTCATTAGTAGAGTGCTTGGATCTGCAGCATGGGTTGGCGAGAGGGAGGGAGGGAAGGAGCGAGGGGAAGAAGGTCGTGTGTGTGTGTGTGTGTGTGTGTGTGTGTGTGTGTGTGTGTGTGTGTGTGTGTTGGACTGAGGTTTGCACACATGCCCATGAGATCAGTTGTTTCTGTTTCTCAGAATTTCCCAGTGTCATTTGTGTTCTTCATTTCTGAGTTTGGGGAAGACATGCTAAAATCTCCTCATAACGGTAACAATGGGTTTCGCTCTCTTTGGTCCATTCTCATCTACTGATTGTCCCATGTTCAAATATTTTAGCCAAATAGTTAAAATTGTCTAGAGGAGACCTGACTGAGTTCTTACTTCCTCTGAATTTGGTTTTAGGAGGAAACATTTAGTGAGAGATAAGTACAGTTCTCTCAATTGAAGTTGTGATTTTAATAAAGGAGCCCTCAAAGCCACAAAGCCTGAATTTCCACGTTAACTTCAAAGAGTACTGAAAGCGACTAAACTCTCTGCCGGTTCCCCAAATAATTTGTATCGTGCAAGAAACCATGGGAACTGAGAAGCATGCAAAGAAATGGAAGCGCTTTATAGCTTACACATTTTAATGCAGTCACTTGCTGGTACAGGAACCCAGGCCTCTGTGCATGCTAAGCCAGCTCTGTGTCAACTGAGCCACACCCTCATCCTGTTTCATGGTGTCTATTTCTGATGCTTGAGATCGAATCCAGGGTCTTTTCCATGCTAGGAGAGAACTGTGCCACGTAGGTGAACCTCCAACTAACTCCTGGCTCAATTTTAGAGCAAGAATCCCACCGAGTCAGTTTAGTGAGAATCACCCCCGTCCCTTGATGATATCTGACCATGTTCCATAATTTCCTACCCTCAGTGTCTAAGCCCTTGGCTTACCCTTGGCAAGAATCCTATCAGTAGTACTGAAATTTGCTCAAAAGCCTATAAGGTTATAGGAGCTTATAGGTCCACTGCTGTTGTTCTGCAAGACAGACAGAAGTGTTGTCGAACTGAGTGTTTATGGTTATGCTTGTAGGTTAGTGTTGCTCTCCAGCTTGGACAGCAGTCAATGCAGAAATTCATGACTGGTTGAGGTGCTGAAATGAAGTGACTGTTGAATGCTCAGCCCTAAATGAGATATCTGTACTAACCCCGATACTGCTCTGGGAATAACTCCAAAGATGGGGGGAAAGAGTAAGAGCTGGGGGATGGGGAAGAGCGCTGTGCCATTCTGCCTTTTGAACATGGCATGGACTATTGTACGCATGAACTCAAGCAGCTGTGGTCACCTGCACAGATTAAGTCAGTCAATGACTCCAGCATGTTTGAGGGACAAGCTCATGAGGCTCCACCACCCGCTGGGGAGCTATTGTCAACTGACGGCTGGCTACCGGAGTGAGAGGGAGTCACTTTTCTTCTTTTCTTTGGGGTGTGGCTGTTGCTAAGTTACCCTTGCTCACCCAGGCAGCACTAATTGGACTCAATGGACTATAGAAAAGGGAGAAAGCCGGGCGGTGGTGGCGCACGCCTTTAATCCCAGCACTCGGGAGGCAGAGCCAGGCGGATCTCTGTGAGTTCGAGGCCAGCCTGGGCTACAGAGTGAGTTCCAGGAGAGGCGCAAAGCTACACAGAGAAACCCTGTCTCGAAAAACCAAAAAAAAAAAAAAAAAAAAAGAAAAGGGAGAAAAAAGGCTAGGAGGTGGGGAGGAGAAGGAGGAGGGAGAGGAGGGAGAGAGAGTCATTCAGTTTAGCACGATGGAACGTGTGGTGGTACCCATGGAGCCAAGAGCAGCTCCTCCTCACCGTGGCAACGGGAGTGTGCCATTCAGCGTGTTACATTTTGGCAGATCAACTCAGGTTGGAAAGAGGAGGGGGAGCAGGAGGAAAATGAGGAGATGGTGGTGGTCGCAAAAGTGGGAGAGGCATGTGTTTAAGGAATCCAGGGGAATAGGAGGGAGGAGCTG